TCGAGTCATCGATAATGTCCCGCAAAAAAAAAAAAAAGGAAGATGGAAGCTGTGGCCATAGAAGGGCCATGCGGTAGAAGGAGTGACCTATGCCCCTGGAGCATTTTAGGTGAAATGGCAAGCCCCATTTAAAGTCAAGCACTGCGTGGGCTTTGATATGTGTCTTTCTCAGCTTCCTGTTTCAACCATTTTTCCACTTCTCTAAAACTATTGTTCGATGACTCAAGTGTAGTCGCCGACCGATTATTCAGACTCGGAGAAGACCCCCAAAATGGTCCGAGTAATCAAGCAGTCCAAAAATTCGGTAGATGAAAAAAATTGCCTTTATTATGCCTAAGCAGGCTTTAAAAAGCCGTCAATAATGGCTTGCTTCATGTTACACCTGCTCGCGATGACGTCTCCTTGCATTTGCGCAAGCGTCATGTTCTCTTCGTACAAATTCAACAGCAATGTTAATGTGTTCGTAATGTCTGCTGTCAGTGGCTGTGGGCGGTAGTCGTCGTCGGAGTCTCAATTTCAGCTGATGCGAGGAACGAGATGAGAGGTGCTAATCCACAAGCGCAAAATGGCGACTGGCGACTCGAAAGTGGTGCGGATGCGCGAGGAGATGGAAGGAAACAAAGCAAAATGATAATCATGATGATGATGACGTGCAGCTATATGGAAAAACAGGCCTAGCATTGCATCACCTAACGGTAGGACTCAGGAGTACTCGAGTCGCGCTGCCAAACCAAGCCAATCCATTTGCAGCCAACATAGAATTCAAAATGGCCGCTTCTCTGTGGTGTTTCCCGCTGATCGCTCGCGGCAATTTTGTCCGAATAATCAAACCGGACTTCAAGCTGTCCGAAACATTGGTCGTGAATATGCACTATTTCTATCAGGTAAGTCACAGTTACCCCTTTAGATCCAAAAAACCAAACAAGTCCGAATTATTGGAGTCCGAAAAATCGGTCGGCGACTATATCCGCATATTTGCTGTGCGGTTTTTCTGGAGTGAAATTTACTGAAGTACTCAACTATGCACTTCATTTTTCTAAATTATAACTTTTCCAACGAGAAAATGTTGCATTTTGTAAAAAACGAAGAACGAAGCAGCTATTCTGAGGTTCATTTTTGGGGGGGGAAGTATTGCAATAAATAGTTATTCCAGGCCCACTACCAATTAGTCTAGTCACTCATCGTTATATTCCAGCAAAAATTTCAGTATTGTTTTTTTGTAACAAGTTTTTTTTCTTTGGCAGTACTACCTTAATATCCCCAGATTTAGCCCACCTAAAATCAGTCTTGGGTAGTAATGCATTACTAGTAATGCATTACTTTAACTTCTTTACTTTTTTGGTAACTTGTAACTGTAACGAGTTACTTTTTAAAAATGTAACTTGTAACTGTAGTTCTATTACTTTTTGTGGAGGTAACAATGAAAGTAACGACGTTACTTTTGTCGTTACTTTCCAGTTCTTTTTATGAATATTAGATCATTGAACGAGTACAATATAGCTATTCTTTGCACTTTCCAAAATGTGTTTTCCAACATTTTGAGTGTCAAGTTGTTTTTGCATGAATTTGTGAATACGTCTTTTCTCGCGAGTCACGACCCGAATATAGCCACGTGTAGATTTGATGGAAAAAAAAAATTAGTTATCTTTACGCACGCACTTGTACTTTGTGACTGAACACTTACATCTTAGTATCTTAATATCTTAGTGTCTTTTTTACACGCGGAGGTCACTGCACATGTTTTGTATTTGGATTAGCGCCACTACTACGCAATGCGCATGTTTCGTATCTTCATTTGCGCCACTACGGCGTAGTATCAACATCCGAGGCAAAATTTGCTGCTGTTTGCGCGGGGTTTGTTTCTGGCTTGCCGGGTACGAACTGAAATATGTCCAGCAACTCTATGAACCCAGCGCAACCGTAAACGAGCCATCAATATACTAGTGCTACCAAGGATGGGGCATTTGTATTGGGTCCGCGTTTGCCCCCCGTGCAATTCCTTCAAGCGCACCATTTGAGCGCCTGTTCAGCAAGAGCAGGGACGTGTTCGCCATCAACTGAGGGAAACTTTCAGAAACTAACTTCGAGAAGCAACTGCTGCTAAGTTACAAAATAAAGCAAAAAGTGCACTTTTAATTCTATGCAACAAAACTTGGTGAGGGGCATTTTCAAGTTTTTCCTCAATTTTCTTTTTGTGTTATAGGAAAGTAACGGAAAAGTAACGTTGTTACTTTTTAAAAGTAACTGTAATGAGTTACTTTTTTGTTGCGGTAACTGTAACGGTAACTTAGCTACTTTTTTTCTGAAGTTAACTGTAACGAATTACTTTTTAAAAGTAACTTACCAAGACTGCCTAAAATTGGGTGACAATAAGGACTGGGCTAACTTTCTATGTACAATCAAGAAAAGTTTAAAAATAGTTACCGTATTTACTGGACTATAAGTCGCACATCCATATATTGAGCCGTTTTCTCGGAAAACTTGGTGCGGAAGTCTCACCTCTTTGCACGGTTCACGCGATCAGTCTTTTTAGTATGTGCATCGGTATTGCGAAATCGGAGTTTCACCCAATCGACTTGATCGCACGTACCGTTTGACGCGTAACTTTGACGTTTCGACTTGCAAGAAATGCCCATAGCACGGTGCTGTCTGGCGGGGGCAATCGAGTGTTTTGCAGCAAAAGGGACGTAAAACACGCAGAATGAGAGGGTAGTCGGCTTTATTGGAGCAAACACATGCCGAGCGAGCGAAAGTTTAACGAGCTAGACACTTGTGAACCAAGCTTTGAACCACTAGACCTAGCCCAGCCAAGCTCTGGAGACGATGCGAGCATCGATGTGCAGGCCGTAAGATAAACCTTGACATACTTTTTTTTCGGTACTTCTAAAAGATCGGCTAGGCACAATCCTTCCTTTTACATGTAGCAACACGGCTGGAGCATGGCACAAAAAAACTGCTCATCAAATGGAAACCAAGAAAGACGCGAGAAAGTATTCTGCAATGCATGTATACCAGCCGACTTACATTTCAGTGTTACTGGACCGAAGCAAATGAGTTCAAACTATGGCTGCATTGGGCAATGTCCATTACGTGCTGTAAAAGCTTTATTCTCGCTGTCTTGCCTATCCACATTGAGCCGCTTTGGGGAAACCGTCCAATTTCTCGCTTTCCGAGTCAGTCGTGAAAAGTGTAGGAGGAGCGCCTGGGTAGGCGTCATGGGCTCGCTCCACCCCTGGTTTGAGAGAACTGGGGCTCTAAACTCGTCAAACACGAGGTTAGGGCCAAAGTTCACGGAACATACTGATTGGGACTATCCCAACAATGACTCGGCACATTTGTCACCAGCGTCCGATTGGCACGCTCCGTGAACTTTCGGCTCCAACTTCGTGTTTGACGAATTTAGGTACCCTGGGCTCAGAAAGAGAAAAAACATGTGGCTCTCTAGTTGATTAAATACGACAACCAAATAAATACGGCTGACTCGACTCTGACTCAACTCTGCACTGTAGAGTTACCGCAGTAACGCTGTTGAAGCATAGCCAAGTTTTTTCATAATATTTGTAGGTGGTTGTTTTTGCAGTTCATTGTATTCTTGAGTTTGGTAGGTTTGTTAAACTCGGGAGCATGTATTTTCATCAATCTGTTTTTGCCAATGTGCCACTTTTTTATGCCATTTTATGGGAATGATATTGATTGTACGATTGTAAACAGCATTTTCTCTGATCTGAACTTTAATTCTAAAAGGTCTATGTACCGTGAGTGTTATTCTTATAGCCATTTTCGGGCATATATCAAGAACAGATGTACAGATTTTAGAAAAGAACACTTGGTCATTATCATAGGGGCTCGGTTGCTTTTCTGAGAAACAGGGCGTTTACAAGATGGAAAGAAATTGTTGGCTGAGATTACTGCTTGTCTGTTGTCAAAGAAGCGAGCCTGAAATGTGAGCCTGCTTGCCGCTCACATTTCAGGCTCGCTTGAGAGGGCTTGCAGGGGTTTCACTGGCATTCCCTTTGGCATTTGTTGGTTGGTATTTCCAGAATGAGGGCACTTCCTGCCGCATTCTTTTAGCAGCTGTTGGGAGATCTCACTATGTCCCTCCTCGGTGTCGCGTGTCCTGTCTGGTTTTGCCTTCTTTTTTCGCGCTTTGCGAGTCCATTCCTCAGAGGCATTATTCCTTAGGATTGTTGCCGAACTCGCCCTGTGCTCCAAGGCCAGTGGAGGCCAGTGCCGTTATCGATTTTCTTTATCGTTGAGTGTCAAAGTCGAAGGGAAAATTGCCGAAAGGCAATTTTGCTAACAATTCTGCACATTCTTTGTTGCATTTCTTTTCAGCGCTGTTCATGCTACCAATTGTGCACCCGTGCCGTTGCATGTGGCCACCCCGTTTTTTGTCACCTTGGGAAGTCTGAAAAGTCTGTAATTAACCGAGTTTATTTGAGCCCACCACAAATCTTGTTTTAATTTCTCGCTATTTTGCTGTAGTTTTATTGGTGCACTGATGTTGCAGAAAATTTTTTTAGCACCTGGTAATTACATGAGCAAAAAAATTACCTTCCCACAAAAATTATTTTCATATTGTTTTATTGCATTTATTAGAGGGCCCCAACACGTGCCCCTCCCCCTCCCATTACATGGGAGGGGGAGGGGCACGTAAAAAAAATTAAAATGTGTAAAAAAATGCTGTACGGACAAAAAAAAATGTTGGCAATAGTTTATGTTATTTTGGATGTAGACCAAGTGGGCAGGCAGTGTGAGATGATGTGACTGATTACAAAACAATTTCGGATGATACGGCATTTCTAAAGGGAGCGGGGTCATCGATGCGCACGGCACGGTCTGGGAGATTGTTCCATTACGCAACGGCGAGGGAAAGAGACGTTAAAAGTGGAACTAGCAATGTGACGTACGCTGGGACGAACGACAAAGGCTCTCGCGGCACATTTGGGATGGGCGTACGAGATGTGGGGGCTGGCGTTTGAGGGCAGCGTTTGTTGCAGGACGACGCCCGGCAGTTCTTCACAGTGGCCGGGGCAACGTCGTCGCAGGAGTGCGAGATCACGCCAGAGCTGGCGTCGATGATGAAGCGCCTGTGGCAGGACCACGGGGTGCAACACTGCTTCTCACGCTCCCGGGAGTACCAGCTCAACGACTCTGCCTCCTAGTGGGTACCTCCCTCTCTCCACCTCTTTGGCTTTTTTCCAGGCACACGAGACGCCCTTCCTGTCGTCTTCAGCTTGTCGGCGGCCACGGCAATTGGAAAGGAGACGACTCTGACGGCTATGTTCAGGACTAAACTGGCGACAATGCGGAGAGCAAGTGCGTCTGCTTTTTTTGCAGGAGTTGCGGTGGCGTCAGGATGACGCCAAGCTCCGATTGGCTCTGATTGAAGGATAGTGGGTAGACCTCAATAAAGGATAGTGGGTAGGTGTACCCGCTATCCTTCAATGAGAGCCAATCAGAGCTCGGCTATCTGACGTCACCGCAACCCCTGCAAAAGAAGCAGGTGCACTTGCGCTCCGCATAACTCGAACTATTTGCTCGCCTTTGCGACCCCCACGTAGCCGAACGCTCGATCGGCGTTGGGCCTGCATTCCAGCCGAATGCGGGTCCAGGCTGCCCCGGCAGGGAAGGGGATGCTTTTTGGCTGAAGCTTTGCGCGTGAAAAACGGGCCGGACGAGGTTCCTCGCGTCAGCTATTGGCGACTCCGGCGATGCCACGCAGCAGAAATGCCCAGAAGCTCCGAGAGAAGCTTGTTTTGCTACTTTGGTCCGCTTTTGCCAGTTGCTTCTCGTAGGCCATGCAGCTACACACGCTTTTAGGGCAAACAGCTGCGGCTGTGTTGCAACGAGATGAGGGAGGGGTCTCTTTTTCCTAAGGGGCAGGGTAAGGTACCTGTCGCTGTCTCGAGGGCAGGAAAATGAATAAATATAAATGAGGAAAGACTATATAAATAATCCTAAATAAGCAATTATTAAATACAGGATTGAAAGTTGCGGTAGAAAGTAAAAAAAGAAGACTGGAAGGTGGATGAATACAACTAGGTTATTTAAAAGTCTACTATTTAGCTAAAAACCGTGACATTACACAACGTGAGAATGCAGAAAATTTGCCAGGCGTGAATCTAAGCGCATAAAAGCTGGCATCTTCCAAGGGGGCACGAGACTAATTAGAATGATAGAACTGATGCTGGCAATATGAGAGAGATATGACACGGGAGACTAAGCACACTATGAATGGGCATCCATTTTAGCATTCGAAGTTACACAGGTATGAAACAGGGGACTAGTAGTGGTGGTGCTGGTGAGGACAATCTCCAGTGAATAGGACAGGAGGCCATACAATCAAAAAGAATATTGGAGCCCTATGCCTTTGAATGGTTGGTCAATTTGAACGTCACTGAGTGTGTTTTTGAACGGGGTGGACCATTGATTGGTTCGAAAGCCCATCCTCCTGCCTGCCAACTTATTCCAAGACCCGATTTTTGTGATTCGCATACCACTGCAGTAATGTGATTTCTGCGCCAATTGCGCCAAACTGCGCCGAGGGGCTAACACTGATACATCCTGCTACATTTTGCCAAATTATGGGTAATCTGCGCCAAGCCTGTGCCAAAGGACCATTTTTGGTCGCCTTTGAAAACCGAAACTAAACTGAGTACCGTAATTGAGCATGCGTGAGCTAGGTGGCGCAAGCGGCCGCCGACACAAAGTACCCTGCTTGAATCGTCCATCCGGTCTTGCATGGTTTTTCTCGTCTCTCGTTTCGTGCTCTCGTCGTCTCATAGGTCTCATCTCACATCTTTTTAAAACTTGCAACGATAGCGTGCGCGGATGTTGCGACGCAAGCACGCCGGGTACCAGCCATGCCGTCATGCTGTGAAACGAAGCCACGTTTTTGCGCGGCGGAAGTTACTTTGTGGGCTGAAACACTCGCTCCTGAAAGCAACGGCCATGGGAAAACTGTACTTGGTTCCTGCCTACCAGTACCTGTCACCGTGGTCGCATGACGTCGGGTGTTGCCGTCCCCACGTCACTGCAAATATGGTGCTTTCTAAAATGAAACGTAAGGACCGCCGCAAGGTCGACATTCCTGTTCTTGTTTAAATCATACGCTACTACAAATATCCCTCTTTAATTCAAAGACTGCTGTGCCGAAGTATTGATTACCTAGGTTTCTCTCGGTAAGCCTTCTTTTGAAAGCGACTTCGGTACGTGAAAAATCTTCCGCTAAAGGAAGTTGATGAAGAGAAGTGAGCTAAAGCAAAAAAGGTAATGTCTGCACACTGAACCCGCACAGCGCGCTTGTTTGTCTCTAGTTCAGTCATTTCACAAAGCGCTTCAAGAACTTTTTGACCTTTGCCAGGCGGGCAGGCTAAACACACAGAAAAGAATGTCAGGGTCAACCTAATGCTGTGATAGTATTTACTACTAAGCTGGTCATTTTCAAATAAATTTTAATATGTGTAGTTTGGTTCTTATTTATCTATAGCGCGTTCATATATAAGTATAATTTAACTGAAGCATTGTGAAATGTGTCATGTTATTGGCATTTCAATTACATGTTGAAAGACTTCCCTGGTGATCTAACTTGACCATAATTGATTTATTGTGGCGAGCAAAGTGCCCTTATTTGTCCAGCACTTAAAACTAATATTTTATTTTTTCTAAGAATATCTGCTTCAATAGCCACTTTTTCTGCTCCGAAACACTGTTTTGGCAGCTCCAAAAGCCACATTTACTGCTCCAAAACACTGTTTTCACTGTCCCAAAGGCAACTTTTGCTGCTCCAAAACACTGTTTTGGCTGCTACGAAAGGCGCTCCAAAACGGCTTAGGCCAATCACATCACTGCACTCGCAAAAGGTTAATTGCGCTAAGGAGTAGCGCAAAACGTCGTTATTGGACAAACAATATTCAGACTCCCCAGTTCGTTCGGCACAGTACACCCACACCCATCCATAGGATAATTTTGTGTAGGCCCCTTATCAATATTGGAAATAGCATAGCAAGAGTTATAACACTTTTATCTATGCTGGCTGTCCTACAAAGGTAAATGGACCAAACTATTTGTGCAGAGTGAGTACCTCTGTCTTGTGCCACGAAGAACTCTGAACTCTGAACCTTTTAGTTCATACTGTTCCCAAACTTCATCTTTGTTTATTTATATGGGCATCTATGTTTTTGTGCCTTTTTCAAAAAGATTATATTGATTATTACTTCATTTAATTTTAATAGTGCATTACTAAAACTAGATACCCTCAATAATTTCCCCTTTAATGATATAAATGAGATTTTACTTCACGTAAAGCATTTGTTTTTAAAAAATTTTTCCTTTTTTTTAAATATTTTTTTAGAGAACTTTGGACGTCTTTTTTTTCTCCTCCTCTTTTGGGAGTTAAGCGTCAGTTGTCAGTTAGTGCTCTTTCGTGTCTGCATTATTTTTCCTTCCTCGCCATTTTGCGCTTTAATATATTGAAGTGGGTAGTTGGGTCGATTAGTCTGTTTCAGAGCATCAGAAGTTATTTTGTGTGCATGTAGTTTCCTTCATTTACTCTTTCATGGTTGCAATCGTCCAGCAACCTCTCTCTCCCCCATCACTTGTGCCGAACCAGAAGGGGTCCCCGCAACTTTAGTGGTGGGGAACCACCGCACTACGTCATTCACATTGGCTGCAGTGTTTGTTTATGACTGAATCTTAATATCTTTACACCCTTTATTCGAAGGGAGGGTGACAAAAATAGTCCCCACCACCATGACTGCTTCCTAAAGCACAAAAATTGATCTTGTCTCGCCTTGAAAAAATAAAAATGATGGATTGATTTTACTGATTAATCCTGCTCTGCCTTCGTAACAAAGAAAAACAGATGTTTTTGAGAAAAAGAAAAGGCAATGGTAGGGTTTCCTTTGCAAAGCAGCCAATACACTCGGTGACACACCAGAGATTTCCTAGAGAATGGACCTTGTGCTTTTGGCTTTTTGTAAACTCGCTGTTTTTGCCTGCTTTAAGGGGGGACATGGGGATTGACCATAACTTCATCAATTTTTTAGACAACTGAATGAAATTTGGAGCACATGCTACTTACACCAGTACAAGTAACTGTGAAATTTTAAGTCTCTACATCCAAATGTTCCCAAGTTATGAAGGCATGCATATCTCTCGCTTGTGCAACAGAGCCTCACTTAACAAACTGTATCAGAACCTTGAAACCTTGCCTACATGTGCCCTAGACATGCCCCAAGGGGGAGAAGCTATTGAAATAATTTTACGGTTAAATGAATGGCAGTTTTGTTGATAACTTTTTGGGGTCGCATGTATTGGCAACATATGACAGCTAATCCTAGCATCACTAATCGCAAGAGTATACTCTGGAAACAAAAATAGCTTCTTTCCCTGTAAATAACATTTTGGATCATTTTGATGCAGACGGAAATAAAATCGGATGATTGGTTCTCAAGATATCCAAAGCACGAGCAGCAGATGTAAAACAAAAATGTTTATTGGTAAAATGCAAAAGAAATGGGGAATAGCAAAAATGCAAATGAAATCAGTATTTTAGAAGGCGCCGGCACAGTACTGCTCCTTCTCCTTCAGTCCCCTCTTTCTCTTGGTATTTTCAGACAGATATTTTGCCTTCCGGAGCCTGCGGGCATCTTTCTCTTTTGCACGTTGCAGCGTCTGTGTTCCAAGTCTCAGACTTAGCCCTTGGGAAAGCTCTTCAATTGCACTTTCATTCCCTTCATTGACCCTCAGGATGGCTGTGTTTATGCCGTCCTGTACTGCAAAAAGGGAGGCGTGCTGCTCTTTTGGCAACAAAGACCAAATTACATTGTGAAGAGACTCGGCGCTGTTTTGAGTCTTAGCCTCAAGGCATCGTTGTAGGAGGGCTGGGTCAGAGAGCCTCTTGTATATAGGAAGCATCGCAGCACACACATGTTGAGGAAGCTTGTGCCTGTCTGGAGGTGGCTCCTCTCCTCGTGCCTTAGCATGCTGCTGTTTGCACCACGAGTCTGGTCCTTGGGGGCACATGTCACGGTGTGGGTTGTCGTCCGTGGAGCTGACGTGATAGAATGTCGTTATAACCGCTCTCTGCATCTCTTCAAGGCTGGAAGAACTGTTTTTTATTGCAAACGAGTAGTAGTTTGTTAGCTTTTTGATGAGGTC